ATTGATAGCAGCTGATAGGATTCTTGTTGTAATGAAATTACAAAATACTTGAGTGGGACTTACAGTGTTTTCGTTTCACACGTAGACTGATGGGTATTTGAAGCATCATCAGAAGCCCTTAGACGTCGGTGTCTTCTTATAGTCAGATAACACTCTAGTGTATTTGTTTTCCTAATCAACAAAAAAACCAACATGAAATAACCATAATTACTCAAGCCGCAAAGTAAGGTACGTGAGATTAAAGTAAAAATGCAAATAAATGCCACAAATAAACTGCAAATAAGTCTGGCTTTGTAATGGAGGGTAAAAATAAAATGAATCATTCTGTGACGTAAAAGATATATTAAGGTCACACTGGCGTGGCTTTACGTACGTACGTACACTTTACGGCGTAAAGTAAGTAAGGTCACAGTTGATTCTAATAAGGAGTGGCAATTCCTCCTCGTGCCTTAATAATGTGGATTGTTTTTAATTATTGATTGGATCTATTTATGCCCAAGCAGCACACCCATATCTAAATATATACTATAGGATATCTAATAGAATTTAATTCGATTGAATATTTTAAGAGTTCAAATTCCCTCAAGACATCTCGAAGAAGGATTCTAGATAATTTGAAGTAAAGGTGGGCACAACTTTATTAGTAGATCACAAGAGTGCTTTGAGAAACTATCTGTAGGTAGTGTTAAGAGTGATTCTTATCTTTTTTCTCAAGTAACCCTTCTAGAATGCTACAAGACCATTTGTAGAATGTAGACAGTTTTTATTTAGTCTTGTAGACAGTTTTTAGATAATTTATAGTCTATGATAGTTTTCTTAGTAATGCTATTTTAAAACCAAAATACTAAAGCGTTACAAACATAAGTTGCAATTCTCTTAATACTAATAGACAGTTTTTATTTAATGTTGTAGTTTTTATTATATATATTTGTTTAGTTTATAGTCTATGATAGTTTTCTTAGTAATGCTATTTTAAAACCAAAATACTAACGCGTTACAAATATAAGACAATTGCGTCTTAATACCAATAGATTTCAAGTTTAATGGCTTACAAAATATAAACTATCAAAATTGCAACATGGCGAAATTAGATATAATATTTCTGACTTTTTCGCGCAATGTTTAATCGATCAGAAAGCGCAAATTGACTTGCGACTTTAAATACATTGTGAAAAGCGATGTAACACCTGCCATAAAAATAATGCGCTCGCTAAATTTTAAATATTTATGTATAAAATATAAACTTAATGAAAATACAGTTATCGATTTTCGGTTTTAAATATTTATAAAAAGCGTAAATATACAAAATAACACAAAACAAACAATTTCCAAGAAGTTCTAGGCTTCTTCGAGCTAATTTCACTTAGATTTACTTTTTAAAAAGAAAAGAAATTTTTCTCGGTTACTTCATAGTCATTCTTTAAAAATAAAAATGGCGATAAGAATTTAAAACTTTTTCACAACACAGTTGGGAGCATTTTGTCTATAGCTTTATCTATAGAAAAACTTTAGAATACGAAAAGATTATTTTTACTTGCTTTAGTGTAATAGATCTTAGAAGAATATTCACTCCTATTACGTTTTTATTTAATAAAACTTTCATTACAAAATTGAGGTTATTTCTTCGCGCCATCCACATTTCACACAATGATTTCATTGTGTTCTATTGATAGACGGCACAATACACATACACAACATTGAAGTACACTAGTTTACGCGCTTATTTCAATTGTTTTTATCATTTCACAACACGGAATTACTTCACAATTTTTATTTATTTGTCAACAAACGAAGCCATGACCGGCTCGCGCGCGAATTACGACTATTGTATCCAGCGTTGCCAATTTGTGGGAAATTGGGGATTTTGACTAGATTGGGAATTTTGTGGGTATTGGCGCTATGTGAGGAAAATGTGGGGATTCTAACTTTTTTTCATTTTGTTTAATCTATCAATTTTAATTTTTATATTTATATATAATTATTATATATGTATTTCTAATAAATAATGAAAACTCGAGATGTGGGGAATTCGTGGGGAATGTGAACTTTGCTCTTCCCAAATTTGGGGATTTTGACCGTGATTTTTGGGGATTTTGAACAATTGGCATTGGCAACGCTGATCGAATGATGTTACTTAATATCCAAGGTTCACCATCTCCACCAGATCTTTTAATATTCTTTATTAATATAAACCCTAATTGTAGTATTTTTTTAAATAAAATCTACTGAAGACGCGCTATAACGTGTTTGTCATAAGTAAAAACACTACGGAATGTCTATAAATTAAATATATTTAGAATAAACTTAAGAACACTAGTTTTTAGAGTATTAATAGACTGTACTATGGATGTGTATGGTACAATTTTACTAAAAATAATGAGTTGTTATACAGATGAACTTAAAATAAGGACTAAAAGAGTAAATCTTAAGAGAGATTGCACTTAATTAAGTTGTTTGGTATTAAGTAGGTTTTAAAATTTTGTCTTGAGTGAAACAAGTCTATACGAACAATTTCTTTTTCCTAAAACCATTTATAGAGAACTATTATCTAAATGTATACCATATTAAGACTGTTTATAGATATAACAGTTTTAAGGCGTACAAAATGTGTTTCTTGGGTGGGACAAACAACCTATAATAACAACCTTACCCCTTCAGTGGCAGCCTCCAGTGGGCGTGGAGACTTTAATAAAATCCAGAAGATTTTTTGACATACACACACACACACACACACATACTCTGACTTCTAAGGTACAAATTTTCTTAGTTTACGAGCCAAGGAATCGTTTAATTGTTATGAAGAACTGTACCTACCGCTATGTACCAATGAATGTTATTTTTCGTGAATATATAGTATATAATTATTATATCATCACCGTTCCTCCTTCGTTCGTCTAGAAAGTCCGGAATACTCCATCCTTATATCTGTGATGTACTTACCACTCATTTGCACGCAGCGCTTTGCTTTCTCCTTCCTAATGAATACAGCAAAAGAATGAAATACTTACACTAAGAGCGTGTGATTTTCCTGAAAAGTACATTTTAGTGATATTCAACTTTAAAGTGAATAGATTTTTTTTCTGTAAGTACCAACGGAAAAACCAAAACTAAACCAAATATAAAACTCTGTCAATGTGACAGGTGAGATACTGTCCTAGCTACTGTTTGTCAAAAAGGCGATAACGGTAGTAAAGCAATTGGAACTTTAAAGTCAATAAATTTAAAAGTAATTTGTATTCGTTAAAAAGTCCTTCATCTACTAAGAATACTAACATCAACGGTAACATTGCCTATATAAAAGGAACCGACAAAGGATTTCCTCTCTTAGCTATAACGGCGCTAAGATAGGTCGGGTTTCGTAAGTCAGCGTGTCTAAATCACGTGAAATCATGCTATATATATATATATATATATATATATATATATATATATGTTTTATCTAGCTATATTATATATTTATTATATTGTTAGTTGGTAAAATGTGCAATGACTAGTTTTTTTTTATGATACCAAGATGGACGGGGCGAACAAGTCTTGCACCTGACGGTAAGCGACACGTCTGTCCATAGCAATTGTAGTTCCGCTCAGTGCTTTAAATCGTAAACATCTGAGGAGCACTGCTACTGCATCCGTCACCTTGAGACATAAGTAGAAAAGTCTCGTGTGTATGTAATTTCACCAGCTCCGTTATCCTTCAAAACCGAAACGCAGTAACCCAGAGCGAATTCTTCCACTACATTATAATCTTTAGTAACGTACACACTCAACATTGCCCCGCACCTACGGAAACCCAGTGTCGCGGGTGTCATGGACACACACTTAAACAACCACAAGTTACACCCAAACTCACGAGAGAAATAAATGTAGGCCATACAAATTTTTCTCCCGGCCCGTGAATCGAGTCTGGGACCTTCGGCCACAGAGCCAGTTTCACTAGGAGCTCTATTGCTACAAAATTTTTATTATCAATGTACTTTGATTGTTATTAACAACAAAAATTTGGAAATTACTAAACATTACTTTAAGAATGTTTGTTCATCACGCTGATTTTATGCCTTCTCGGGCAGGAACATAGTACGTACGTTTGGTTTTAACACGGCAAACTAATTTTATATACAGAGAACGCTTGCCTCTTACGGATATCCTAGATTAAATCCTCACCAGAATGCCTACACCACTGAATTATTTCCGAAGCCACCGTGGTGGATTGTGTAGAATAATACGGTCGCCATCAACTTATTATCACATTATACTACACTTCGTATCACAACTAACAAAATTAGAAGTGATTATCATATTGTCCACCTGCACCAAGGTGACTTACTGTTAGCCATAATTTTAAACGTCTCAATGGAGAAGACCCGTACCTAACGTGGGGCCTCGTAAAAGTTCATAACCATAATAATAGCCATGATATGTATAACCAATATCGTTAAGTAATACTCCATTATTCACTGAATGTGTTACCAAATCATCATCATCATCATAGCCGTCCCCTTTCACTCTTTGCGATCTTGTGCCCAACTCATCCAGTCCAAACCTCTGTGTCGTCGGATGTCGTCCATCCAGCGCTTCGGTGGTCTGCCTGATGTCCGCTCTGGGTCTCCACTCAAGTACTCGCCTTGTCGAGCACCTCTCATCCATTATCGTGCCCCGCCATGACATCTTTAAGTTTGACCCTATTTTAGGTCCAAGCGTTGCTTTTTCAGTCTCCCAGGGTAACTCCGAGCATTGCTCTCTCCGTGCCCCTCTGCGTGACTCAAAACTTCTCGGCGGACTTCTTTGTAAAATGATTTCCGTACCAAAGCCGAGCAAGAGCCTAACATACTGCTCGAAGACTTTAACTTTGAGATCTAGGGGTATTTTACCACGTAGCGTTAGTTGCAGTTAGTAGACACCGACTACAGCCCACGCCTGAGCGATCCACTTCCGCTGTTTACCAAATAAAATACAGTTAACGGAACTAACCTCGAATTAAAGCAATAAACAATTATCAACAGGTCGACGAGAGGCTTACCATCCCGCACGGAACAACAACAGCTCACCGCGCCCATCACGGTATGCAGCTTTCCGTGACCAGCTCATCGCTACATTTCCCCCTGTCATCATTAACGCTCTTCCCGAACCAGACTGTGGATATCACCTGCCTAAGCACTATACCAAGCTATCCCAGCAACGGAGAGGGATTTGCTGATGTACAGAACCATACAATTTCTGGTAAGTACGCTTAGCGACGTCATGTTCTTATTTTTATATTTGAAACTAAATGGCATTGGAATTCTTTGTGCCAACGACAAAGTAAAAGGTTAAGAAACAAACGGGAAAGGAAACAAAAAGGAATGAATACATTAAGTAATACCATAGACTCAAGCGGACAAGAAACAAGACCGAGTAGTCGGGTGGTTGGTACCCATTGGTACAGCAGATTTTTTTTAATATTTTTTTATAAAATCAAGTGACAGGACGAACAAGTCATGTCGCCTGTCCACAACAGTTTCATTGTCACTCAGAGCTTTAAATCGCAAAGATCTGAAGGGTACTGCCGCTGCGCCTGTCACCCTGAGACATAAGTTGACAAGTCCCATCAAATGTCGCAACGAGTACCAACTAGCTATTTTTATACATTAGCAGTATAAAATAAATATGCGTAGAATCTGGTATCGAATTATTTGCAAAGTATTGTCATTTTGATCACAATAAAATATAATTGATAGCAATGTATTTTATTGTGATAAAATTGGCGATACTTAAGGCACAAGCCTTGAATCTGTCTTTGTCCATTGAATATAAATATCCTCTGTTTGTATGTAAAACCACATAAGTGACATTTTCCACAAAAAGCCTTTAATTTATATAGCGATGGTAAGAAAATCACTATCTTTCTGCACGTGAAACTCAATAACAAAAAAACTATATACTTAATAAGAGTTTTATCTGCTAAAAGATGGTGAATTTCTTACCGTCCTCTTTCACTCTTTGCAACTTACAATTATATGGACGTCGGGTCCGCGTTAAAAAGTGTCCGAACTTATAGGGCGTTAAAATCGTATACAGAGCGTCATTCACGCTTTAGTCTTCGTTTGTTCGACTGACAGCGAAGCAAGCAAAATTAGACAGTACTGCGATGGCATTACAATTTAAATTCAACGTTTTAGCTTTTTCATATTCCTTTACATGTCACTACGTTTAAATAGATTGACTTGGGACATTTTTTTCGTGGTTTTTGTATTAGACCCGTCGTCCATTTATTTGTAAGTCAATGCCATTAGTACATAATTTGGAGATTTTTTGTGGAAAATGTCCCACTCACGTTCCATCACGTTATTTATATCAATCTCGCCTGACCTGTATGACACATTGATTTTTAATCCTGACATGCAGGTCGGGAACTTGCCCTCGGTCTTATATTTTACATCTAACTTGTAAAGTGGTAGTAAATTATTTTCTAGGTCGTTCGTTCATAATCGTTTAAAAATTATGAGAATGGTTTTTTAGAATAACTACTATGCATATAAATAACTGATGTAACTAGAAAAGAAATTACTGGGCGATAAAAAGGATTGTACCTATTTATTAAAATAAATAATAACACGGTAAAAGGCACGTACGTTCTGTTCTTTGTTCATCACAATAAAGCATTCATTTTATTTACCATGTGTACATTCTGAAAATTACTTTAATGTTGTATTCGATATACACAGACCGGCACATTTACCGGAACAAAAAATGTGAGATTAAAATAGTAACGTTTATATGTGGGGTCGGGCGCGGCCTGGGGCGCGTGTTCGAGTTCAGTTTATGGGTGCGCTCAAGCTCTTCGATGGCACAGCAGTTAGTACTACGGGCACTTGATGAGGAGTTCGATTCCTGATTTGGGCCAATTTAAGAAACAAACATTAAATTTCTAAGTTGGTTTTTGTCTGAGTATTCTGGGTTATCGTTATTTCGGTGTTCATAATACAGGAAATTCGGCAGTGGTTTGGCATATTTTCCCCCTAAATACTTCTCTTTGGCATAGCTTTCAAGAAAATGGAATCTAATAGAGAGACGGTCGAGATACAACAACGCTATAATAAGTATCTCATTTCAACGACATTGCGAAGTATGCCTTACATTGTTACAATTGTGAGTTCTTATACTCATAATCTATTACGCCTCCGTATATTATCTCCATCGCGATAGCATGTGTACGCTTCGGGCTTCGCCCGCCGCGGACCTCGGCCTCCGGTCTCGGCACTTATCACTTTGTTTTAAAAAATTCTAAATCTAAAAAATATCTTTAATGGCGGCCATATTTGAAAATTGCAAAAATATTTTTTTACTACTAATTTTTATCAAAGATTCTTAAAAATATTTTTGCCAAATTTCAGTCCAAGCATAGCAAGTTTTTTCAACAGCCATTTACATAAATTATTACGGTTATATCGTAAAACGGCGGAAACAAAATTTTCAGTTGAATTAGAAAAAAAAATTATCTACCGCCAAAACAGTTTGTATGGCAGCCATATTGAAAAATGGCCAAAAATAAATTTTGACCTCTAATTATTATTAAACACTCCTAGAGACCCCGACATGTCCATTTTCAATCGAATTAGAGCAAATTTTTATCTGCCGCTAAAAACGTTTGTATGGCAGCCATATTGAAAAAAGGCGAAAAATAAATTTTGACCATAAATTATTATCAAACACCTATAGAGACCCCTACATACCGATTTTCAGTCGAATTATAGCTGATTTTTATAAACTTGTATGGCGGCCATATTGAAAAATAGCGAAAAACTAATGTTAATCACAAATTGTTATCAAGCACTCCTAGAAACCCTAATAAGCCAATTTTCAAAGGTATCTGAGCAAATTTTTTTCTGCCGCCAACGAACGCTTCTATGACGGCGATATTTGAAAATGGCGAAAAACAAATTTTGACTAGAAATCACCATCCGGCTTTTTTTTAAATTATTTCTATAGGCCTCTACATCCCAATTTTCAGCTGGATCGAAGCAAGTTTTTCTTCGGCCGCCATTTTGAATCCGCCATTTTGAATTTTTTAAATCCAAACAGTTGACCAATTTTACCCTCTATGACATTCCTTCGAGCACCTCCTACCTATCTCTAATAGTTTCCGTTATAGAAGACCTTGAAACTTGTATGGCGGCATTCTTGTTTATTTGAATTTCGAACATTTTTTACTTCCGGCGGAAATCGACCAGGATGTACCTCATAAAAGTGCACAAATATCCCCTCCAGATATTACAGATTTTACAGGCCGGTGATCAGTCTTTCATATTTTCCACATTCAGATCTACTCATATTCGATTCTTTGCTTTGGAACCTATCCGCGTACAACGGTATAAATATCTTTTTTCCACCATATCGGGAAGTATGCGTTCTATTTCCATCAGTGAGTAAGAACTTATAGCTTTATACCTATATATATACCTATTATATTATACTATTATATTATACTATATATACCTATATATAATATAATATAATATAATGCTAAAATAACATTTAAAATCGATCCTACACAGCCTTACTCAACCTTTATTGAAAAAAAAAACTAAATTAAACAAAATGCAATTTTTCAGATGTTGTGACAAAACAGAAATACCTGAAAACTTAGCAATTTAATATTGATTAAATCAAACTCTAATAAATAAAAACAACCTATTTCAACTTAAGTTTACGAAATTTACAAGAACACAAAAGCAATCTCCAACCACTCGACAACCTTGTATTAGTAGGAAACTAAAACAAATTAATGAAAAAATTACTGTCAAAAAATGTTTTGTTTTCAAACTTGAATAAGAAGCAAAATAACCGACCACACTTTTTTAAAAACACTGCATTATTTTGAGAGTTTTGTTAGTGTCCCGGTAAATGTGCCAGTATAAATGTGGATTTGCTTTGATGTAGAAGTATAATCATCTAGACATATAATTTACCCCGTAAATGACATTCGTATTGTTCTGTGTATTTCTATTGCGTTTTCTGTCTGGGCTAAAGCTACTCGTTTTTCAAAAAAATGTTTCGTAAAATTTTGGAGTCATTAGTCGTGCCTATAAACACATCTGCGTTTATTAATTATTTCTTGTTAACAAAACTCTGTTTAGGATATTATTTCGATATAAGCAAATCTCAAGTTTATAACACTATCATTAGATTTTACTGCGTGTCCTTCAGTAGTTTAGCAATCGCTATCATATTAAATGCGTATTTCGTCCAACAAGAAAGTTTCAAACCAAATTATTTGGTTTTCACGAGTCAATATGTATTTGGAATTACTGCAAGTCATTTTCACAATCAAAAGTATTTTTTCAAATTTTGCTCCACTTTGAATGCAATTAATACATCTGTGGGCGCGGAAAAATGTATCATGAGTCACGTCACTAAATTCGTAGTATTGTTAATACTTCTTGTATATTCCACTTTGTTCATACTAACAATTATTGGGTTGGGTTTCAACTTGCTGACACTTATCTATTTTCTTTGCATTATATCGTGTTGCTTAGAGTATGCACTAGTCACGTTGATTTTTGATTTGTTACGTCAAAGAAAGTCATTATTATCGAATTATGCAAAAAAACTGGACGATTATGACGTTTGTGATGATGAAAAGTTGAGGATCTTAAAAAAAATATTGTTCAGTCACAAGAACTTGCTGACAAACTTACAACAGAATACAAAGTTTGCAAAACCATTGGTAAGCTTGTGAACCTGTGGGTTACATAAGAGAAATATATTTTATGATGATATAATAAAATTGTTTAATAATAATAAATTCAATTTTAGATACTGTTTCAAGTTATCACCGTGTTAAGCGTAGTCATTCAGGAATTAAGTGGTGAAAAAGATGAATACGTTAGTAAAAGCGTGAGTACTCCAATAAATATGATTCTTATGGTTTTTTGTTGGTGAATCTTGTAACCAAAAATATCACAATCAATATCAGTCAGGTGGGGTAAGAAGAACACCGGAAGAAGAGGGACTTGAGCCTCAAATCATAATCTAAAGAGTTTTAGCACTGTAGTCTCTCAGTCGATAAAACAGACAAAGAATTTAGTTTAAACGATTTTAAAGAGATATCGCTACGATGCTCTAATCCAAAACCCGGAAAAAACAAATTTGACAGTTGAGAAATCTTGAGAACACGAGGTATACATTACCTTTATAAGAAATACAATTACTGTCCCTCTCACCCCATCGTTTGAGGAAGA